AGGAGTAACCCCTGTGCATTGCGAGGTGTGACCCAAAAAAGCAAAAAAGTAAATAAAAATTAAAAATTAAAATTAAAAAATCAATGCGTGATTTGAAAATTAAGTTATCATCTTAAATAATTATAAATTTAAATATTTCATAATAATACAATTTTTGTTATCTATACTGAAAAGTTTGGTAACCTTTACAATAGCCTTCTCAAACATTGGCAATGCACATTGGCACATTAAATTCTCCCAGAAGCCTCACAACTGCTTAACTCTGCTTATCTCATTATTTCTCAGATGTTCTGAATCACTATACCATCTTTTCAAATACAAAGAAGCAGGAACTAAAGCACACATTAGGACCTGTCCTAGGGAGATGAGTGTCCAAACTTTTTATATCTGTCTTTTCTCCCTAGGGGTCCCAACTCCAAACATCAAGTCACCTCTTTCCCGATGCTTTCTCCAGCTCTCCTGAGCTCAGCTCTAAAGTACAATCCATAATCTGGCAATGACTGGATTCATTCCTGCCAATGGGCACAGCATGTGGACTCTGGTCTGAAGAAAAATGCCCATGTACAACCAAGAGAATAAATAACTCAGTTCCCATTATACTTGGGTCTTAGACTACCCATAACACCAGCCAGTTCTCGTTGACTAAGGAGATCGTCTTGTTTTGTTTTTACTCTGTGTGTGTGTGTGTGTGTGTGTGTGTGTAGTGGACATTGGTCCATGAGAAACGTAGGAAATTTGGCTGAGACACCAATTAATTTTGCATAAGCTGCCACAGCTCCATTAGATGCTAATCCGTTCATTCATAACCACAAGGTATTGTGCTAGGGTCATGTCCATGACTTGTGCCTCCAGCCCTGTGGATTTATTAAGTGCTTAGCCCCTAGTTCCTGCAGCTGTGTCCTTTCAATGACTGCTTTATGTTGACCAAGAGAGCTGAGGTCTGCTGCCAGGACTCTGAGATCTGAGGGAACACATGGACACATTATTCTTTTCCTCTGAAGCTATCCAATTCCTGTTCCGGTCAGATGGGGCGATAGTGGGAGGATATCTCTGAAGCAGCCCAGCACTTACTGTTGATATTACTCATGCCTGATATGTTTGCCAAAGAACAGACTTAAAACTGGTTGCAGTGGGGTTTTGGTGGAAAGCTAATTAGCAGTGAAAGCGTAATAATGCAGAACATAATTCCGAATGTAGCTCCTTTCTTGATTTGTAAGAACTTCCTCCCATGGACCTTTAATTTTCTTTACTCTAGGATTGAGCATTGGATCCAGTTGGCTTCAGAAAAGAGGCTGGGGAAGAGAACTCACTATGCTAATTGAATACTAATGAAGTTTTTCCTTGAGTGGTTTTGTATTACAATTATGAACATCTATCTTTTTTTTTTCTGTATTTGTGTAGAGAAAAAAAAAAGTACCTTGAAGGTGGAAAGATATGGCAAGATATGGCCTGAATATCTGGAAGAAAGTATCTGGCCACCTTTTCTTTTGTCCTTGTAACATTTCTAAAGGGTTTTGTTCCACGCTAAGGAAAAGCAAATATCATCATCATTATTACTGGCCTTTGTCCACAGTGGATTTCATCCAGACTAACCAGTGACCCTGTGAGTAACGATCTGAGTCACCAAGTTTCATATGTTTATGAATTTCAACACAATTCCCAGGCTGGGAGGTTTCTTTTTCTTATTTTTTTTTACATTTATTTGCGCATTCTGGAACTCAGAAAGCATTAAATGCCTTTCTGTACTTTGTGTCACCAAATGACTGACTCTGAGCACTGTAGATTAAACTTCACCTTGAATAACAAATTAGTATTGGCAAAAGTCAAAGAACGACCAAACTGTCAAAGACTAAGATGGATTTCTGGGACAAAAGTCTCTATGTTTCTATTTACCTAAGTGCTCCACCAGCAGTTAAGTAAATATAAATATTTGTGTCTTCATCATGGTGGGGCGGTAGCGCAAGATCATTTCATATTTTTTGCTGTTGTTTTGGGGCCAAACCCAGCAATACTCAGGGGTTACTCCTGGCTCTGCACTCAGCAATTACTCCTGGTGGTGCTCAGAGACTATATGGGATGCTCACCCGTGTGCAAGGCAAGCACCCTACCTGCTGTGCTATATCTTCAGCCCCTCATTTCAGAATTTAATGTGCAAGAAACCTACAAAAAATGATAATGATATAAAAATGGAAGTATATATACTAATTGTTAATTTTGTAAAGACATGTATCTTACAGTTCTTCAAAGAAATATCAAAAAATGAACAGCTTGCACTAAAATATCCTTTCAATGGAAATCCCATTATTTTAATACTTTTCTTGTTTTACTGTATCTATTCTCAGACCAGTGCCAACTTGTCCCTTCATTTCAACTGTTCCTGACTGATGACCACTCCATGCATCTAGAGGCTAGTTATTTTTACATTAAATAACTTTACATCTAGTCATGCATTTTACAGTATCTCAGATTAATAACACTTTATAGTTTTATAGCATTTCCAAAGGGTTCCCTTGCATATTATCCCATCATCATATGCAATACAGCTGAAATGTTTCATTCCCTTTATAGGTAGAAATATTGGGACAAATTAATATAATTATCTTAGCCTCGTTGATCATATAGCTTGATAAGAGAGAACTAAAATCCCAATCTGAAATTATTCCAGCAGACATGGACAGAAATTTAAGATTTAAAACTTATTACCTCTCAATCATCATAAAGTAAAATGAAGAATAAAACCCAAACAGATGAGTTGTTTTTCTTGAATATTAGCTGCAAATATTGAGATATCACTTAAATTGTAACACATGCATGCTGTCCAAAGTATAATTGTTATTGGAATATAAAGCTATCATTAGCATTATGGTAATTTTTTAAGTTATTTGTTCAGAATCAGGGAGATGTTTCAAGATGGAGATCTCAGGCCTCCCACATTCAAGGGAGGTTGAGTTCTGCCTGCTCCCCCCAGTACCATGGGGCGTGACCTGATGCTCACTGAGCACTGTTGGGTGTGGTTGGTATAAAAAAATTAAAAGGAGCCAAGGAAATGCCTCAAAGGACTTGAGCACAAGGTTTGCACACAGAAGTCCCTGGTGCCAGCCCTGGCATCACATCACCCGAGCACTGAGCCAGAACTAGAGCACCATTAGGTGTGCCCCAATAGACAAAACAAAAATAATAACAAATAGGAGGTCATGGAAATAGTTGAAAGGACTGGAGCTCCGGCTTTGTTGGACCTTTAGGACCACATGATTCCCCATCATCCTATAGGATGTTTCTGAGCATGGAATCGTAACCTTCTGTTGTCACTCTAGCAAATCACCTTTTTGAAAAAAATTGTGCTTGGATAGGGTTTATGTTCAAATTAGCATCTAAGGTAAAATGACCTATCTCCTCTCTATAGCCCACGGGGTTCACGGTCTTGGCCTTGGGTATAACTGTTACTTAGGGAGCTCCTTTTGAAGTTTCTGGTCCCCAACCTGGTCTAGCCTGCTGCTAGCCGCCCTGGGGAAGGCAATTGTTGCAGCCTCAGCTAGGAAAGGGGTGCTGCCTCCTGCTTCCTCCGCCCCGCACCCAGCCCTTCTGCGGGTCTCAGGACCCTCTGGATTCCTCCCACCAGTTTCTAACCCCCGTTGGTCTGGGAAGCAGCCTTGTGAACCCTCAAATCGTGATCACCAAGGGAACAGGGGACTAGCTGGGCGCCAGGAGCAACCCCTGAGGAGGTGAAGCCTCCTCCATCCCAACCCCCAGAGCACCGCTGGGTGTGTCCCCCAAACCCACTACAAAGGTTTTTCTCTAAGGGAAAACAAATTAATAAAGGAGGTAAAAAATTATCACCGCAATAGCAACACAGTTGGAACCCTCTTAGTTTGGGTGGATACTCCTGGTGAAGATGGGCTTCAAAACCGGGAATAGCTCTTTCCCTCTTTGGGGGAAAAGAGAGACAGATGTGCACCTGCCCCCAAATTGCCGCGGACACCCCGACTGAGAAAGTGTTTCTCGGCGGCGGGGGGTGGGGTGGGGGCCATTGTCACTCCATCTGGGGGCAGCCAATGAGGGCGGCGATTGCTGCCCTGGGAGCCCGCTGGAGCTGGCACCTCCCCGCTGGCATTTAGGGCGCAGGAGCGTGGCGGAGAGCTACGTGTGCGTCCCCCTCTATTTTCCCAGCTCAGCCACATGCTCTGATTGACGACTAGTTTCCCCGAAACGAGGCGAAACCTGGGTTCCTTTCTCTGTCTCGTCCTGTGCCCGCACCCCGAGGGCAACGCTGGGCAGAGGCGGGAGTTGGAAGGATCCGGTCCGCCACCAGGGGCAGAGCACCTCCCACCCGGCCAGCCCCCCAGAATCGTTCAAGGGAAAGCGGCTCCCTTTAGAAAAAACGGACAAAGAGCCCGGGTGGACGGGGTGCACTTGAACGACAGATTCCTAAGAGTCTTCTCCGGGGGGGAGCGTGAAGGCTGCAAAGGGCACCCCCAAATTACTAAAACCGGACCTGGGCGATCTTACCGAGGCGATGGAGCCCCCAACTCTCTGATCTGAATGCAACCAACTTAAAGCCCTTTCCAGGGGCAGCTCCCGGAACCCAGGGCCGAGGTCCAAGCATCCTAGCGGCTCCTTGGAGCGCGAGAATTGGGGAGCGGAGGAGCGACACCCCCCTCCCACCCACACACACACCGCCAGCCAGTGATCTCGCCTTGTTCACCCAGGCCATGCCGGAGTGGCGGGCCCGCTCTCGGACAGACTCGGGGGGAATGCAAAGGGGGTGGGGGTGCCCAGAAATCAGTCAGAGAGACTCAACGCCCGAGTGCGCGTGAAAGCGGCGGGCGGGGTGTGTGGGGTGCAGAGCCGCGGGCTGGCTCTCTGCCGCTCCACCCCCGACCCCCCCACCCCCCGGCCTGTGCTCAGGTGCAACGGGCCCTGGCGCGCAGCTGCTCCCCAAGCCGTCGGGGGTGGAGGCGGGGAAGCGGCTCGGGCGCCCCGCATCCCCTCCCGCCGCCGAGGGGGCGGCTGGGGCTGCCCGGGGCGGGGCAGCCGCTCCCCCGCCGGCCCCCGCTCGCGCCCCGCTTTCCCCGGGAGCAGCATGGCGGGGAGCGGAGAGGAAGCGCCAGACTCCGGGCGAGGCGTCGTGGTAAATGCAACCCCCCGACTTTAGGGGCTGAGTCGTGCGCTCCCCCACCCCCCACCCCGACTCCGTCCCCTCCCCTCTCGCTTGCCCCCTCCCGCGCGATGCCACGCCCGCAGCTGCAGCGTCGGGGACAGCGGCCTGCGGCTTTGTTCTTCCCTCCCGCGGGGCTCGCTTGCAACATCGGACCCCCGCCCGCCTTTCCCCGCAGCCCGCCCCCCACGCCCCGTCGGCCCTAAGACTCAGGAACCCGGTGCCCCGCGGTTTCGGGGTCGTCTCCCCGCGCCCCTGGGCTAGGCAGGCATCATCATCATCGGCTGCTCCAGTCTTAGCTGCCTGGTGTCGGGCCCCCCTCTCGCCCCCTCCCATAAGCCTGCCCGGCGCCTTCAGACTTCAGTGGACTCACGTTTTGTTTCCCCCCCCCAGAATCCTGAGGGCTGCTAGAAAATAAAGTAGCTCAAGTGGACGGTGTTTGAGCGCTGGGCCCTTTTTTAGGTTTGTTTTGGGGCCACACCCAGGCGTGCTGGAGGCTATTCCAAGCTCAGTGGAAAAAGAACAGGGTCACTCCTGGTGATGCCAGGGAGGCAACTCATTCCCTACTGAGTCTGGAGACCTTTGGAACCTGGGCTGGGGCTCTCTTAGCAAGGCCTGCGCTTGGCCTCCAGACCTATGGTGGCTCTCAATTTTTGCAAAAGGGAGAGGCAGTTCAGGTCTCAGTCCTGGCAGAAAACTGGGGAGGATGCAGGGAAACAAGGATGAGAGGCTTGGGGTGCTGGCTTCCTTAGTAGAGCCTTTTTGTCCCTGCATATCTCTCCAGGCATCAAGCAGAGGGTGCCCGCCCTCAGTGTCTTGGACTCAGCTCTGGTCTTGGCCTGTGGCTCCCTCCACCTCTTGGGTGCTGGCCAAAAGATTGCTCTAGCAGGTGTGGTTGTGACTGTGACTGGGTCAGACTTCATTCACGAAAAATGGTGGTGAGGCTGGGATGTGACTCCATCTGACTCCAGACTTTTTTTTTTTCTTTTAGATAATTGTAGTTGTACAATTTTAGATAATTGTAGTTATACACTGACCACTGAGTAAGCAGGTTTGTTTGTTTCTTTGTTCATTTCACGTTTGCTAACCAGGTCCAGGAAGTGGTTGAGACTCTGGAGAGAAGGCAGGGGCCAAGACAGCCCTGTCTTCATGGAGTTTAGATTCTAGAAGAGGAACTGAGACAGCCACGTGAATACGTTAAATCATTTCCCATCATGAGCAGGTGTAATGAAAAACTAAGTTGGGGAGGCTCGGAGGAGACTGAAAGTGAAAGTGATTGGAGGAGGGTGGGGGTTACTGCTTGCCTTCAGGTGAGCAGGACAGCCACTGACAGTGACATTGAGCCTCATTCTGCAGATTGAGGAGGAAGTACTGTAAGGTCTGAGAAGAGCACAGTTAAGGCATCACTTAATGTCATCAATAGGTTCTCGGAAAGGGCAACTTTAAGCCAAAGTATAAGGAAGGAAACTTCCCTTGCACAGCATGTGTCTCTCTGCTGGGGCTGGGATTTTCTTTTTCCTCCGTGGTTTACAGTGACATTAAAGGAAAGTTCATTTTTCAAGGACCTGCTATTGCTTCGGAAGTTGGTGCCAAGAGCACACAGCACTCAGTGTATGCTTTAGAAAAAAGAAACTTTCTGTCCACCACGGGTGGATGGACAGGCCTCGTGGAGGAGTGAGCGGAAAAGGGGGTGGAAATGGAACGTGGGAATTACTCAGTTCCATTCTGGACAAACCGAGATTATAGTGCCTGGAGGGCCTGGAACTGAGGGTGCCAGGAGGCGATTTGTAATTCATATCTGGGATTCAGGAGTGTGATGGGCAGAACTGGAAATTGTCAACAAATGAATTCTTGATGTTTGGAGTAGATAAAAATGCCCAAGTGAAAGAGGGAACCAATTTTAAACTGCTCTTAAGGATAGAAATCTGGAAGCCCAAAATGTAAGAGACAGAAAGATTGGGAAGAAGACATACAGAGATCAAGAATGAATAGCAAGGTAGGAGTCAGTGTCCTGAAATAAAGATAGGGGACCTGAGTTGGTGGGGCTCAAGGGAGGGGACAGGATGGGAGGGAGAGCAGAGATTCACTTTTATCAGTTTCTCCCTAGGAGAAATAAGAAATAATGCAAGAAAGAGACTTTGCAAAAGATTATGTTTAAGTGACTCACAGGAAGGTTTCAGATATATTTTTCCACTGAGAAAAAAGAGAGAATGGGAATGAATCGCCGGCTTTGGATGTGGTATGAAATGAGTCCAAGTGGTCACTTCCCCAGCTTGGACATGTTTTGCATTTTTGAACAGAGAAAGCATTGTTCTGCATAAACTTAGGGCATATTATCTGTGACTCTGAAACTATTTAAAGACTTCTTGTTTTGATTTTTCAAAAAGCAGATGAATAACAGAATTATCTACAGTTGACAGCCACCTCCAGTCCTTCAGGTGGAGGATGCGGTCACAGTGGACGAGGCACTTCGTGAGCCCCGTGAGTGAACACAGAGCAAAAAGCCTCGGTGTCTTGATCGAGAACCATCATTTATCTCAGTTAGAAAACTCACTCTGCCTGACTTAGTTGGAAATAGAGCAGGTTGGATTATAGAATAGTTGTAGAGAAATAATCCACTTCTTCTCTTTTTAAGTTTGCAATTGCAATGAGGTGCAAAGAGTCGTGACAAACTACTTATGGAACTTCCTTAATGAAAGTATGTTGTGTTGTTTGTTGTTAACTATTGGTATAAGGTACTTAGTTGGCATTTGTTTGCTTATACTGTTGTGACACCAGTACAAGAGCTTTCTTCTAATTTAATCCTCAGCATAGTTGCCTGAGGCAGGTGTTCAGTCTGTTTTATAGAATAATTCACTGGACCCAGAGAAGTTTACTCCCCACAAGGAACTTCAGTGAGTAAACTTGCCCCCAGCTGTGTTGAATACCTAACACTTTGTTGTCTCTCAGCTAGGGATCACCATGAAAACTTTCATCACTAGGTTGTTTTCTAGTGTCTTCTTTGGGAGGGGGAGTGTGCATGTCCTTTATTGAACACTTCCTATACACCAGGACCTCGGAATACACACTCTATTCCAGTGTCTCTTTATCCTCCCAACAACCCTCAATACAAGTTTGATTGCATCTCACTGAAAGGTGGAGAAACTGAGGCTGGCAGATGTGGCTCGGTAGTAGGACATTTGCCTTGCATGCGGAAGGCTCTAGGTTTGAACCCTGGTCCCACAAAGGAGAAAGGAAGTGCAGGGAGAGAAACTCAGTGTCTGAGATGGGTGTAATGTTCCTGTTATCACAGCTCATCCATGTCTGAGCTGCGCTCCAGAGCAGGACCAGGAGAGAGTGCTTTCGCCAGCACAGGGGGCAGTGTCTGTCTGTGATGGCCAGAGGGATGAATATGCTCAGAAGCTCACTGGTTAATCGTGCTACCAGCCAGCTGGGAGGCTACAGAAAAAAGAGTGTGTGTGGCCCGGAAGGGGAGCCAGAAAGCGTTATGCCCTTGAATGATCTCTCTGGGGCCTGGTGCTGCTCAGGGATCTTTGGTCTCTATTGGAGCTTCCAGAAAATCTTTTGCAAGCTCCTTGTGTACAGCTGGTGGCTTGGGCTCTGAATGGCCACACTGGTGTAGCTGCTGAGCACGGGTCCAAGTTTCTTAGTGAAAACTAGGACTCTAGAGGCAGTGCGAATGGGGCACTCTTCAGAGGCGCAGATGATATAAACACCCATCAGATATCAACGCAGGGCATGTGTGAATTTCCTGAGCTACCATGAACAGTGGTGCTTTTCATCACACAGAGATGCATTTGAGTTGAGACTGGGGGTTGGGGTTCAGACAGTGTTGGGGAGTCTGTGGTTACAGAGGGTTCATGCATTCCACTTTTTTGTGTGTTTTCCATGTACCAGCCAGTGTTCTGGGCATTGGGGGTTCAACAACAAATGAGTCTTCCAGAAGGAGTCAACATGCCAGTGGGAGGAGACCACATACACAGGTATACACAGTCACATATAAAGCACATGAACACTCACACATATATCACATGGACACTCACATAAATACATGTACTACATTTACATGCACACACACATATCACATCCACTCTCATGCACTCACACATAGCACTGCACACACTCATACCACCTCATGCATACTGTCCTACAGACCCATCACACACACACACACACACACACACACACACACACACACATCCCTACACTCATACCACAGCTATTCATACCACAGCTACACTCAACACATTCACACACATAGACAATCACACACACATAACCAGTGAGCATCCTTGTTCCCAAAAAAGTGATGAGAATTTAGAGCAATTCAGTCCAGCAAGCATGGAATAAGGGTAGCTGTTTCATTTATTTGCATTACTTAACTGATTTATTGATTTGAGGGGTGTGGGTCACACCCAGCAGTGCTCAGGAGTGATCCCAGGGGTCAGACTCAGGATTGGCAGTATATAAGGTAAGGGCCCCAGCCCTTCCACTATCTCTCCATCTCCAGGGTTGCTGCATAAAAGGTCATGGAGACCTGTCCTTTGTGGTGACTTTGGACTTAATCTGAGCAGTTAAGGGAGTAGCCTTCACTGAGCTAGGAAGGGGAGAAAGTAACCAACAGGTGGCCTGACTTTGGTTTAGTGGCCTTTGCTGGGCCTAGAACTGCAGGGGTGTGGACTAGGGGCCGGGCTCTCTTTGCTGTTCCCAACCTTGAGCAGCTGAGAAAGTAAAGACAAGTCATGTGACTGTCTGGGGGAAGAGTAGGGCAGGCCAAAGAGACAGCAGGTGCAAAGCTCCTGCGGCCGGTGCTGTGGTCCTGGGCTGAAGGGAGAGTGGTCCTGGGGATTGGAGGGAGCCTCATGAGCCAGTGGTGAACATGGATCTCAAGTGTCCAGCTGGCTGTCAGAGTGGAGGGGAAGCCCCAGGAACCACTTGAGCAGAAGACAGCCCTGACCTGACACTTCATGTGAAAGGAGCATCCGGCTGCCTCAAGGAAGGGGCCACAGTGAGGACCAGGATTGTTGCAGCTGTGACAGGGGTCCCCTGAGAAATGTGGCGGTACTGTCAAGGCAAAGTGTTGAGACCTGGAGAGGTGGACCTAGGTAAATGTGGAAGGTCTTGGCGGTGGGATTTGCTAGTGGGTTTCCTGGGGCGGAGGTGGCAAGGAGGCAACCACTCCGTGTTGATCTGGGCACCTGGAAAGGGAGTAGCCTTCACTGAGGTAGGAAGGGGAAAGCATAACCGTCAGGTGGCCTGACTTTGGTTTAGTGGCCTTTGCTGGGCCCAGAGATGCAGGGGCGTGGACTCGGGTCCAGACCCTATTTGCTCTTCCAAACGCTGAGCAGCTGAGAACAGGTTTGAATGTGGAGTGAGGAGGAAGAGGAGGAGGGCAGAGAACAGGAGATATCTCTGTGCTAGAAGGTGTGCTCATGAGTCCTAAATTTTCCAGTGAAAAGACTGAGTGAGCCAGAGGGGTTCAAGTCTTCCCAGGGGTGGGTGGGAGACTCTGCAGCTGTGAGGACCTGGGGGCCGGGGAGAAAAGATTCAAGGGAGCCATCGGCAAGGCCTCCTGCAAGGACTGGAGCTTGAGCTGTGACTGAAGAGCCAGCCTGGGAGGATAGGAAGGAATGGGGCTGGAGAAACGGGAGAGATGAGCATTGGGAAGGTGATGGAGCGAGGGCTAGGTGAGGGGTGTGATGGGAGAGTGCAGAATCCTCCCCTGTTCATGGCCCTAGTCACCAGCATTTCTCTCCTGCTTAAAACTTGCACATCCAGTCCTGAGCAAGAGGAAGCTTGCTCACACTCTCTCCCTTTCTGCTTCCTGAATTAGCCAGTTTCCAGCAGAAACAGTTTCCTCATGGGACAAGGTTTGGAAAACTTCACAGCTAGACTTTATAAAAGTTTGGGGAAGCACTAATCTAGGAGATGTATATCAGTTTTTGGTTTTGTTTGTTGTTTTTGCTTGGTTTTGTAAACACACCCAACAGTATTCAGGGCTTACTTCCAGCTTTGTGCTCAGGGATCTTGGCAAGGCTCAGGAACCATACATATGTGGTGCTGGGGATTGAACTAAGTTCAGCTGCATGCAAGGCAAATACCTTAAAGTGTATACTCTCTCTCCACCCTTCATCTTGTTTTGTTTCAAAGTGTTTTTTTTTAAATTAAAGTAGCATTGATTTATAACATTACAAGAATCTTGGTTATATAGCAGTGTGCTTCTGCCCCTGTATCTACTATACCATAATCATCACCAGAAATCTGGTTTCCATCAGCTACAGGGCAGTTCCTTTATCCATTTTCACAAGAGACACTGGTACATGGAGAGTGACAGTAGTAAAAATGTAAGCAAACAGTGATCCTCAAATAATGTGGAAGTGAGGTACTGACACCCTCCACAGCTTAAAAATTCACATATAACTTGGTTCTTCCCAAATTTACATACCTCCCTTTTTATCCACTGGGGATTGATATTAGGAGCTGTGCGCTGCCCGGAGCTGCCATAGTTTTCCCCCTTTATCTTCAGGTTCTACATCCCCCATATTCAACCATGGGGCTGAATACGGGAATGGAGGTTGGTTAAATGGATTTATCCAAGGTTGGTTAAATCTATGAATGCTAGCAAAAGCTCTACTTTTAAGTAGCACTGTAACACTTTAGCACTGCCTTCTCGTTAAAAGTATGTTAAATCAGACATATAACTACCCTCAAAACTTAAAAGTATGTTAAATGAGACATATTACTACCCTCAAATTTAAAAGTCTGTTAAATCACCAAATAAAGGTGTTGGGAGGATCCTCCCAGGATGGGAGAAGCATGCTGAAAGTAGACCAAACATGATTGCCACTCAATGTTTCTTTTGCAAACCACAACACCCAAAAGGAGAGAGAGAACAGAGGGGAATGCCCTGCCACAGAGACAGGGTGGGATGGGGGTGGTAGGGGGTGGAAGGGATACTGGGATCCGTGGTGGTGGGAAGTGGGCACTGGTGGAGGGATGGGTATTTGATCATTGTATAATTGAAACCCAAGCACAAAAATGTGTAAGTCTGCAACTGCACCTCATGATATATCACTATCAAAAAAATTTTTTAATAAAAAAATAAATTAAAAAATGGAAAAAAAGTCTGTTAAATGAGACATATAACTAGATATATAATAATAATATAATGTGTGGTGATCCTGCCTATATTAATATAATTGCAAATTACTTATTTATTCATGTTTATCATTTTAATATGAATTTTATATGTATACATATATTCCTCCGCCCCTCTCGGAGAGCCCGGCAAGCTACCGAGTGTATTCGATATGCCAGACAAAGTAACAACAAAGTCTCCAATGGAGACGTTACTGGGCCCGCTCAAGCAAATCGACGATCAACGGGAGGGCCTTTACTTTACTTTACTTACATATATACTCTTATACACAATATTATCAAGTAAGCAGTAAGGCATTGAGTTTATGTATTAATTGTATGATGCCAAGAGTTAAAAATGGAATTCTATGCTTGAGTACTAGCATGCAGTCGACTCAGGTTTGAGCCCCAGTACTCCATATGATCCCCCAAGAGCTGCCTGGAGTTATCCCTTAATGTAGAATCAAGAATAAGCCCTAAGCACTGCCAGGTGTGACCAAAACAAAAAGAAAACAAACAATGAAATTCTATGGGAATTTATGTACTCAGTCCTTTATCAGGCTGCATGAAAAAAAAATCACCTTGTTCTTTGAGCTTTTCCAGAGTCTCTAGAATATAATTAATGCAATATTGATCATTAGGCATATTCTGTTTTCAGTATTGGTCTGTCATTCAAATGATCCTCTTTATTGTTGATGCTTAAACACATAAATTTCCCATGAAAAATATAATAATCAAGGTAATTTGATTTACAGATTTTGGATGACTGGCCAGGGTATGACTTGAATTTATTCACATACCCTCAGCACTACTATGGAGATTTGGAATATGTGCTCATACCTCATGGCATCATTGTGGACAGGTGAGTATTACTCCTGGGTCGGTCTTGGTTCTGTGCTGGGCCCTCTCCACCCTTAACTCCCTGTGGTGACTGGAATCCAACCTGAGGTTCACACATGCAAAACACGTTCTACTAATGAACTGTATGTTGAGTGGCCCTCTCTTTTAAAGCCATGTGAAACACTTTGGAACCTTATTTATGAGTGTTTTTATATAGTAGTAAAGAGAACTTCCTTAAGGGTCAGAGAGATAACACAGCAGTTAAGGCACTTACCTTGCATACAGCAAGTCCTTGCACAATCTCCAACACTGCATATGGTCCCTGGAGCACTAGCAGGAGTGATCCCTGAGTGCCGAGCCAGGACTAAGCCCTGACACCTCAACACAGCACAGAACAACAGCCAGCTGTGGCCCACAAACCCAAACTAAGAAAAACAAACAAACAAACAAAAAAAAGAGAACTTCAGTAGGACAGAGAATGTTAATTAAAATGAATGTGCTGGAGTGATAGTAAAGCAGGTAAGACTTTTGCCTTACATGTGGCCAATCTGGGTTCACTCCCCAGTCTCTCATATGGTCCCCCATGTACTCCCAGGAGTGATTCCTGTGTGCAGAGCCAGGAATAACCCCTGAGAAGCTCAATGTGGTAAAAAACCAAATAAATAAATCAAATGAATTTGTCCTTAACTGAATTGTTTATCTTAACATAGTTGTCCAGGAGAAATGATTAAAATATATATATAAATGTTCAATATTATATTCACTGTAATGGTCTATTGGTAAAGGCCTCAAAATGCCACAGGCTGAGGATGGTGGGTGGGAAAGCATTGTCCCTCACTCTTCATCTCACAGTGTCAGATGAGTTAACCAGCCAGTCCAGAAGTGACCTTTGCCCTCAGGTAACAGATTTCTCCAGTCCTGGCTTTCCCAGCAACATCCATTTATCCCAGGTCAATTAATGCATGAGAGGCTAGTCTCTCTATGCACTATGATGTTTCCCAGCCAGTGGTAAAGTTTTGTCAATAGAGTATTTTTGACTGACAAATATCTGCGCGGAACCATTCCTTTTTGTTTTCTTTTTTCTTTTTTGTTCATTTATTTATTTATTGGCTTTTTGGGTCACATCCAGCGGTGCTCAGGGGATACTTCTGACTTTGCACTCAGCAATTACTCCTGGTGGTGCCCTGGGAACTATATGGGATGCCGGGGATCAAACCTGGTTCAGCCACATGCAAAACAAACGCCCTCCCCACTGTTCTATCACTCCAAGCCCCTGCATGGAACCATTTCTACCACAAGCAAGATTTATTAATTTCACCCCTTAACAGAACTGCCTTCATGCCCAGACAACTACTTTCACTTCCACCTCTGATTTCAATGCACAGGTAAAATATTTAGAGTCCTACATTTATAGAGAGAGCAAACTTCAGAGTTTTCACTGTGCACTCCTAGAAATGAACTAGCTTTAAAATCCATTCCGACCAATCTGTTGTTTTATTGCAGTCTTTAGTGATTGCTGATAAAGTGGGTTTAGTATCTACCGTATTTATAACTATTTCTTGTTCACTTGCTCCTTCCCTTTTTTTGTCTTCTAGACTGTGAAAAGGCTTTCCTACAATTGTTCTTTTCTCCACAATCTGGTGACTGAAGTTTATTTAATTTTGTTAAATTAAAAAAATGTTTTTGGTTGAGCTGCACCTTGTGGTGCTCAGGGCTTATTCCTGGCTCTGTACTATGGGGTGAGTCCCTATAGTGCTTGGGAGACCCTGTAGTGCCAAGAACCCCAGGCCTCTTGCCTGTGAAGAATGTGCTCAGCCCACTGAGCCATCTTTCTGACCCTTAAATGGAAAAGCAACTTGTTATCAGGGAATCAAACCCAGGGCCACATACATGAGAAGCTGATGCTCTTTGACAGAACTTCATCCCCAACTGTCTTTTTTCTAAGTGTCACAGCCTAAATTTCACTTCTGTGACTGAATAGCTTTGTGTTGGGCCTCAGATTGATGGGGATGATACTCGAATACCTGGTCTTCCACTCTCTGCTGATGGATGGGACAGGAAGACTCCAGGGTGGTGGAAAGCATATCCAAATTTCTAGCTTTTTTTCAAGTCTTCCCTAAATTTTCATTTAGCTCTGGGTTCTTCAGGATCTCCTCTGCACACACCTGCAGCTGCATCATCCTGAGGGGTAGGAGTGCTTGCCTTGGACTCTCTTGGGCATCTGTCTCCCTCCAGTCAGTGAGGGTTATGTGCAGAGTTGAGTGTGAACTTCTCTCCCCTGACTCTCACCTCCTGAAACTCACTAGCAAATCCCCAATTTATCTGCTGCTCAGATAAATTGCTTGTTGAAGCAGGGCTGTGAGTTCCCCCTTATCACAGAGCAGACTCAGAGACAGGTGAGGAGGACAATTTGTAGACTTGAGTTTGGCTATCCTCCCTCCCTCCCTTGGTCCCTCCCTCCCTCCCTCGCTCCCTCCCTTCCTCACTTCCTCCCTTCTCCCGCTCTCCCTCCCTCCATTCCCTCCCTCCATTCCCTCCATCCCTCCCTCCCGCCCACCTTCCTTCCTTCCTTCCTTCCTTCCTCCCTCCCTCCCTCCTTCCCTCCCTCTCTCCTTCCCTCTCTCCTTCTCTCTCTCCTTCCCCCTCCCTTCCTCCCTCCTTTGCTCCCTTGCTCCTTCCCTCCCTCCCTTCCTTCCCCCTTCCTCCCTTCTCCCTTTCCCTCCATTCCTTCCTCCCTCTCTCCTTCTCTCCCTCCCTTTCCTCCCTAGCTCCCTCTCTCCCTTTCTTGCTCCCTTACTCCCTCCCTTCCTTCCTCCCTTCCTCCCATCTCTCTCCCTCCCTCCTTACTTCCCTCTCTCCCTTCTTCCTCCCTCCTTTTCTCCCTTCCGCCCTCCCTTCCCTCTTTCCCTCCCTCTCTCCCTCCCTCCCTTCTGCCATTCTTCCCTCCCTCTCCCCTCCCTTCCACCTACCTTTCTTCCTTCCTTCCTTCCTTCCTTCCTTCCTTCCTTCCTTCCTTCCTCACATCTGTCAGTGATCAAGGCTTCCTTCTATTGTCACATCTGTCAGGTTCAGAGTTCAGAGATCTTTGCTGGTGGCCCTTGGGGACTACACGTTGTGCCAGGGATTGAACCTGGGTTGTTCCAAGTGCAAGACAAGCACCCAGCCCACCGTACTCTATGACCCACTTTTACTGCGTCTATCCTGTGTCCAGTGTCTTCAAGAATAAATGGTTCTAAGTTTGTTGTCTGCCTTTGTTGGTTTCCTGGGTGCTGAAACAGTATTTTTTGATAAATTTGCATAACTTTCTTCTTGTTCTTTATGATGAGGATTTGTTGATGTCCCTGTTCCATCATGCTAGTATCAAAGTCTACACTTTTCTTCCCCTGTTTTCTAGGCCATACTCAGCAATGCTCAGGAGTTACTTCTAGCTGTGCACTCAGGAATTTCTACTGACAGTGCTTGGGGGAGCACATGGGATACTGGGGTTCAAATCTAGATTGGTTGCATGCAAGGCAACCCACTGTACTATCGCTCTGGCCCCAAAGTCCACACTTTAAAGGAGAGGCCAGTTAAGCTATTACATGTGCTGATGGGCTTATTCTGAATGCATTTGCAACAACCATTTATTATCGCGTGTACTACATAGGTTTACATGTGTATGCATATATAAACACATACAGAACACATCTTTTAGCGCTGGGGTTATGGTTTCAAGGGGTGGAGTCCATGCATTGCGTGTGCAAGATCTAGGTTCTGTCCCCAGCCTCACATATTCCCCTGAGCACCGCTAGTGTGCCCTGCCCCCAAACAAATGCAACATTTCACACATAAAATTTATTAGGTAACGAATATGCTACATATGTAAAACACGTGGTCTAATGTCCTATATGAATTCAGACCATTCAGCTTATCGACTCTATTTAATTCTATTTGAAGGACCACTAGAAACAAATTTTAGTATGTATTTTAAATCCTGCTTGCATTCAAGGTCTTAATGTTGTTGAGGTATATGGGCATGGATGAACAGATACGAAACTAACAAACAAAGGCACAATGATAGTTCCATGTGAGGTATTGGGACCAGTCCATGACCCATCATGATATAGTTTGAGGAGACACATTTCCCATGTGCTGTATTGAAGTGGTACAACTATTTGGGTCACCATCACTTATGCTATCTACTATTTTTGTGAAAGGTAAATGTTACTCATTGCTCATGATTCTGGGTTTAACTTTTCCTCCTCCTCTTTAACTATAAGGTGAAAGAGTCACTTCGCATTTCCTTTTTTTCTGCTGTGAAGTGAGCATGGTATCACCAAATACCATCCTCAAGTTAAGATTACCACAAGCTCATCAGCAATAAGATAATAGAATTCCTGAGTTTTGACATTCTATTTCACAATCAATTTTGTAGCTTAGAGAAGCAAAAGTGTACTACACAGCATGCAGTTACCAAAAATCTACTTGAACACTCTTTCCAGCCTTAACAAAATTTCTTTTTCCTTATATTCTGTCTCCCAAGCTTTATCCCATACTCCTGTGCAAAGTTGGGTAAGCATGATGGACCATGTTTTTCTAAAAAGAAGAAATATGTTCAGAATTAGTTTTGCTTTAATATAGTCTTTAATTGCTTACTTCCTTCAGAATTGAACGCCTGGCCAAGGATATCATGAAGGACATAGGATACTGTGACATTATGGTCCTATGTGTGCTTAAAGGAGGTTACAAGTTCTGTGCTGATCTAGTTGAACACCTGAAGAACATCAGTCGGAATTCAGATAAATTTGTCTCTATGAAGGTTGACTTCATCAGACTGAAGAGTTATAGGGTAAGTTATTGTGTTTTTCTTTTTCTTAATAAAAAGGTTTGTATGAATCTATAAGTTACTTTCATCTATATGAAAAGATATTTTAGGAAAGATTTGTGCTTTTTTTAAAAAAAATATGGTTATAAAGTTCAGTGTGTTCAGCCTCACAAGTGGACAGGTTAAAAATGGGTGCTAAGAAAATTCTGAGCACACTGATGTGTTTTCTTATCCTGGAAGTCAACTGCATGGTTAACTCTGGAGACCCTTGAAGGGTGTTTAGCCAGAGAGGAGCGTGGGAACGCTGGCAGCTTTATGAAAGAGACTCATTACAGTGGAGGGTTGGACACGAGCAAAGAGAGAAGCTCAGAGCTCAGAACAGAGGGTTAAAGTTCGTCCCTGATTCTTGATGCTGCCAAGGGGCAGGAGAGGTAACCCAGATTCAGCCTCCCTCATTTTTCCTTCACCCAACAACAAGGCCTTTCACTGCACATTTCTACCTAGCTGGAGGCCTGGAGTCCAGTATTTCCCTCGTGACCGAGCAGGACTTGCACCGTTAGCAGAATTCCATCTTTGGATGGATTGGGATAAGGAAAAGAATTCTGAAGATGGACAGGTGGAGAAAAGAGGGATACAGGGGTTCTGGACAGGCCTCAGACGTGCAGGCAGGTGAAAGTTTAATGGGTGTATTTTTCTACATGACTGTACATAGTATTGGTGTATATGTAATTTGTGTGTTTTTGCTTTTTTTTTTGCCCTGGAGATTGACCCCAGAGTGAGGTGTCTGATCTGTCATCACTAAATTATATTCCCATCTTAGATGTATGTTGTGTGTCTTTTCAACTGAGGAAAAGAGGACAGCTACAGCAATAGAAAAGTAGATGGAAATAAGCGAATAGAAAAAGGAAAAAGGAAGAAAATGAAATTCCAAGTTTTACCATGATTTAGTAAATCCACAATATCATTGAGTACAATGTGCATCGTTTCTTTTACCACTAAGAAACAATGGAACAGAGAGATAGCTCAGTGGGCGGAAGTGCATGTTTTTCACTCAAATCCTCATCACCAGAAGTTCCCCTGTGCACCACTCGGAATGACTCTTGAGCACCCAGCTAGGAGTATCCCCTGAGTACCACCAGATATGGTCCCAAAAATAAGGAAGGAAGGGAGGGAGGAAGGATGGGAAGGAAGTAGGGAGGAGAGGGAAAGAGAAGGGAGAGGAGAGGAGTGAGGGGAGGACATGGGAGGGGAGAGAAGAAGAGGGGAGGAGAGAGAAGGAGAGAGGAGGAGAGAGGAGGAGAAAATAGGAGAGGAAAAAAGAAAAGAACTGTAAATCAAGCTATGGCAAGTTATAAAATGCATCCTGATTTTGGATAAACTAAAATGTAAAAATAAGTAAGTAGTTGGAATTGATAAATTCTGAGGCACTCCGCTTTTGCCATATACTCACCAGTGTTCAAATAGCTGAAAAGTACCCGGAAACATCATTTCCCTTATCGCTCCTTCTTAATTCTGGGATCTTGTGACATCACATCAGTATTTTTGTACATGGCAGCATATTCCTTCGATGCAACAGACTTTTTTCCAATTTAGTGTTGAATAATTTTAGCACAGTAAAAATATTTTCAGCATATTTCAACAGGAAGATTCTTTACCAACGAATATGCCAGAGAGAGACCTGGATGTTTCAGTGAATCCATTGTCACTGTCACTGTGCTCCCATTGTTCATCTATTTGCTCTAGCAGGGCCAGTAACATTGTGAGACTTGTTACTGTGTTTGGCATATCAAATACATCACGGGTAGCTTGCCAGGATTTGCCATGCGGGTGAGTTACTCTCAGTAGCTAGCCAGCTCTCCGAGAGGGGCGGAGGAATCGAACTTGGGTCGGCCATGTCAGCTGTATGGAAGGCAGATACCCTACCCGCTGTGCTATTGCTCCAACCCTCAGTGAACCCACATAAATCCTTAAGTCAATCAAACCATGTATGGAAACAAGAACTTTGTCTCTATGGGCCTGTTGGAGAAGGATGCTGAAGCATGCCTTACTCAAAATTTACAAAGCACAGCTCATGTTCCGTGCTGCGTCTTACTCTGGTTATCCAATCCCTACTTCTTGTTTTTCATGTGTATGGATGAAGAAGCTGGTTGGGAAGCAAATAGCTAAATTGACCTCAAAAGAGGCTGTGAATCTAGCATGCTCTTGTCCAATTTACATTGAGATTTCTAGTTCTATCACATAAAGGGGTTGTTTTTTTTTTTAAGTCCCTTTCGTTTCTTTTTTTTTTTTTTTTGGTGTTGTTGCGTTGTAACTATGACAGGTTGTTGGTGCTTGATCGGGGTACTCACCTGGCCTGTGCATTTCACTATGGCGTTTGCATGTGAGTTTGTCAGGAGTCACATAGCTGGCTGTGGTTCTCACTCTCTTTTAGTGGCATTACTGGTTGCCACACACAGAAACGCTAGCAAAGTTCCAGAAGTAGCCCGAGAGCCATGCCAGGTGTGGTCAAATCAAATATATAAGTAATAAAAAATAAAGACATAAAGTGAAGCCAAGACATGTGTGGAGGCTTGTCAAGATTTATAGCAGCATTCTAGTCATGGGGAATCTAGCCATGATTCCTCAATCTTTACCTGGTGAATATCTGTGCAGTTTCTCAATGTACATTATGGGGTTCCTGCCCCCAACTTTAGTGTTCTGTTGAGATATTTATAAGGATGAAAGCAAACACCAAGAAGGCCAGAAAGAGAATGATGCAGAAGAATTTATTTACTGAAAAACAACCAAGTTTTAAGGGTTTCTTTTAGAGACATCCTGGGCTTAGCTGGGTCACTGACACATGCTGGGCTTGATGACAATGGGAACAGAACCCCAGCCAAAAGGCGGTGATGGGGGGTTGTTGGTGTGTGTGTGTGTGGGGGGGGGGTGTGCAGTGGTAAATAGGTTCTGCTCCCAGAGTAAGCTGAAATCTGGCGCAGTATGTATAAAGGGTAGTTGAAAGATGAAATGAAATGCCAACCTTGGGGAGATCATTCAGGGGTTAAGGTGCTGGCTCTGCATGTGCCCAACCCTAGTTTTTCCCAGCATCACAGATGGTCCCTAAGCATCACTAGAAGTGACCCCTGAAAAAGCCCTGAGCAGCACCGGATATGGCCCATCCTCTCTCCACCCTCTCTTCACCAGCCCTCTCCAAAAAAACAACCTCAGGAGCTTCTATCATATGTCTTTGACTTGAATGAAGTCTGCTAGTCACTGAGAACCCACAATGGGAAGCTGTTGTTTTACAGGGATCAAGAGCCCTTGTCCTTGAGAAGCCAATGCTACTAACACCCCCTTTCTCCCTATCAGAACATTGGGACGAGAGAAGTTACTTGAACCCCCAAAACACAGGGCTAGGAAGTTAGTGATCTGTCACACTCCTGAATTAGTATTTGGTGGGGGCAGTAGGGTTTTTTTTTTTTTTGCGTGGCTTTCCTATAGTGTTGGGGTTGCCGGGGCTATACCCAGAGGGGTTCAGGAGGTCATCTGGTTCTAGGGATTGGATGTGGGGCCCAGAGTACATCAGGCACATGCTCCAGACTTTTTAGGGATCTCCCAGACTTAGGAGGACTTATCTCCTAGACTCCTGAATTAGGATTTGGGGGGTGAGAGGAGCCCTTGGCTGTACTCTGGGCTTCCTCCTGGCCCTGTGCTCCAAGCACTCCTGGCAGTTCTCAGAGAGCCACATGAGGTGCTGGGGATTGAACCATGGTTGGCCGCATGCAAGGCAAGAGCCCTAGAATTAAGATTTTCACCTCCCACAATCTGGCAGTTGCTTGCCATTGTGGGTGAGGGAAAGGACGCCAGTGTCTGGGAGGGGACCTGTGTTGAAGAAAAAGTGCTGGGCGAATGTCCAAGAAGAAGCTTGGGCACAGGAAGCAGGATAGGCATCTTTCCAGAGTACAGGGAGGGTACTGGAACTTGGGCAGAGGCAAGATGCCAGGGCCAGCAGGAGAGGCCTAAGACTGAGTCACAGGCACTCGGCTTCCACTGCCTACACAAGCCCACAGTCCCAGTCCCCTAAGGTTTCTTCCTAGAGATTCGTAGCTGTGGCCCAGTGGCAGGGGAGCGGGGGGAGAGGTGTTTGCGGGGCAAGTCGAGTGACTTTGCTATTCTCATAAGCCAAGACTGGAGAGCTCTGCAGTTGGCAGGGGGGACCCTGCACTCAGTGTGGGGAACAGGAGCATTGCTTGCAAGGGATGCTCCACATTCTAATTAGCTCTCTTGTCTCATATAGTTCATATGCTTGCCGCCCCCAGAAACCAACACTGGCCGCCCATACACAGGAAACCTGCTGTTCATTGCTTTTGTTCACTTGTACCTGATTTCTTCCCAAAAGGAGGCAATGTGTGGTGCTTTATTAATTATGATAAGATCTTTTATTATTATTATTACTATTACTTTTATTATTATTTTGACACAAAAATAATGGCTGGTTGAAAAAAATCCTTGCCTTTTTTGTTAGACTATTTTTATTGTCTTAAGTGATTTTTATTAACATATTGTAAATTTGTACAGAATATAAAATCTATCAAGAACAAAAAGGTTGCTAAGTGGGTCTAGAGCCATAGTAGGGTAGGTAGGGCACTTTCTTTTTTTTTTTTTTTTCATTTTTTTTTCCCCTTTATTTTATTTTATTTTTTTTTAAGTTGTAGATTTACAATTTTTTGTGCTTTGGTTTCAATTATACAATGATCAGATACCCATCCCTCCACCAGTGCCCATTTTCCACCACCATGGATAATATCCCTCCCACCCCCATCCCCCCATCCCCCCTGTCTCTGTGGCAGGGCAATCCCCTGTGTTCTCTCTCTCCTTTTGGGTGTTGTGGTCTGCAAAAGAGGCATTGAGTGGCAAACATGTTCAGTCCATAGTCTACTTTCCACATGCATCTCGGTAGGGCACTTTCTTGTATGTGGCCTACCCAGGTTTAACCCTGGCACCGTTTTGTAGGTCCCTAAGCCTGCCAGAAGTAGTCCCTGTGT